TATAAAGTTTTATATACAATTTTTAACATAGTATTGAAACTAATGCAATTATTCATGTTTCAAACGAAAATATATCCAATTATCTATAAATCAAAGCTAAAAATTTTGGATATAACAATTTAATTTAGAATATAATGGGTTAACGCTATTCCAGAAATATGGTTTAATTAACACAAAGTATCTCGGTTAATATTAAAAATTGAATTAATAAATAGGTACTTGAAATATACTAAATCCATGCATTAAATTATCCACTTATATGTGCATACAACGAATGTCAACATAAACATATTTTCTCAAACTACTTTATGTATATATTGTAACAGTTCGTTCACTCTATCGCAATTACGGCATAAATGTAAAGCAATTAAAAACTATTTCACATAAAAAGTCCTCAAAAAATGTTCAGTTGCATGCGTGCAGCTATCAATAATAACTACTAAAAGATATGACAGCAAATCATATTAAAATTCGAATTTCGATATATTCATAATATTTAAACAATTAATCGAAATATGAACAATATTTAAAGAAATTAAAAAATAATAAATAATTATATGCTGTAAAAAAATGTCATGTACAAAAACTGACATTTAATTTGAAGACATTCAAATTAAATTGTCGCGGTGTAACGACTGACAGCTGTTTTTGATTTCCCCACGAAAACAGTAGGTTGGAGTGGCACCTTGTGCATCAAGAAAGCTTGTTTTGATACCACAAGAATAGCGTTGGTTCATACATAGACTAGATCAGTATACAACCAACCCCAAAAAAGCCTTCAACGCCCCCATTAGATCATGGTAAACTAACCTGACAATTTTATGAATTTGACTTAGTCCACAATATTGCATAGTCAGATCTGTAAAAGGGTCCCCAAGATTTTTGATTTTTTCCAAGCTAAAGATGGACATTGCCACATAGGGTAGATCCATTCTCATAATATGCCTTTATATTATGCAGTGACCCGTCAGCACTGATACTGTAGTGCTAAGCAGGTTCCGCCTGAGTTTAAGTAGCTGGCTAGTGCGTTTTTTGTCCAAATCACACCAAGTCAACTTAGAAATCTGACATCAGGATTCATCAGCTATTTTCTTTAAATGCCAGTTTAGCTATTGCAAGTGGAACGCCAATATCTGAGAAGATGTTTCTGTATCCAGAAACCCAAATGAGTTGAACCGTAACGAGCGTAGCTAGGTCATTGAGGGAAGCACCGCAGCTATAATTGATGAGTTGAGTTATAATTGATGTAGCTGTAGTGAATACTAGTGATTTGTAGGCAAAGAGAGGCTGTCTAAGGAGATTAAAATATTTTCATTGGGGATCTGATTGCTAAGGACGCATTTTACGTCTTCTTTGCCAACTATCATCTTACACTGATTCTCATTTAAACAAACAATTTTATATGTTTATGGGGGCCAACCATTCAACATCTAATAGAACATACCCGTTATGATGTACTATTAGTGGAAAGATATATATCTTAGAAAGACTAGTGTGACCTCGCAGTCGTATTTTGATATTTGTTGATTAAATAGTTTTTTTTTAAACTGTATTTTGCAGTAGCAACTTTATATATACAGTGGCTCCATAGCATAATCGGACAAGAATTTGTTCAATATAAATGTCCTCTAAACTTTAACAAAATATGCTAAAAATATTATTTTTTTGCTTTAATTTATACTTAACATACTTATCTCTAAATATTAATCAAAAAATTAAAACATTTCTCATATTAACAGTAAATTTAAATTAAAATACAACACCAACACAATTTTTTGGGCTCAACGCATAATCGGACAAAGGGTAGCAGCTATGCCAAAAATACTTTTATTTTGCAAATAATAACAAAAAATAATATTATTATATAATAATTATAATAACAATTTGTAACAATTTCCACCACAAATGTAAGAATTAAGTAATATGAAGTAGTATTAAAATGACACCAAATGGAAAGCAATCTACTGTCGAAATTAGGCAATTAATAATTAAATTGAATTTTGAAGGTAAAACCGTTATAGAAAAAAATTGCCAATTTAGTTGGAATAAGTAAATCTATTGTACAAGACATTAACAAGAAATTTCGTGATGAATTTGGGTTAGCCAATAAGAGCAGAGCAGTTCAAAATGATCGGCAAAATATTAAATGATCGAGAAGAGCGTTCGATATTGAAAGAAATAAAGAAAAATCCTTTCAAAACCGCTAAAGATCTTAAATTTTCATTAAAAACCCGCTCTCGGAAAGATGTATGATTAAATACTTTTCGCAATACTTTACATAAATTCGATTATCACGAAGGAGTTGCCGGAAACAACCGTTTATAAGTATTAAAAATAAAAGAATAAACGTCAAGGAGTATTTACTAAAAACAGAAAGCTTTTGGAATCATCGATAATTTTCATTTTTTTTAAGGTTTTGTTCACTGACGAAAGTAAATTTAATTTGCAAGGATCCGATAGTAAGATGATAGTAAGATGTATGACGTAAATCAAATGCAGAATTTAATCATCACAATACAAAGGCCACTATAGAACATGGAGGACGCTCTGTTATGGTTCAGGGTTGTAATCAAGTGAAGGAATAGGCAATTTGCATTTTATAGATAGTCAAATGGGTAAATTTGGCTACCTTCACATTCTGAAACAGAATATAAAGCAAAGTGCAAAGAAATTGGATGTCACGGAAAATTTTGCTTTTTATAAGCACAACGATCCTAAGCACACGTCAGGCAAAGCGTTGGTTGATCTATAACTGCCAAAACACCTGCAAAGAGCCAAGACCTTAATATAATTAAGCATCTTTGGGAGGAATTAGCTAAGAGTGTAGCAAAAAAATTTAAGGCAAATGTACTGCTAAAGGAAACTATACACGAAGCATGGTATTCAATAGAGCCAGAAGTGTGCCAAAATCTAGTAAAATCAGTTCCAAATCGTCTGCAGACCGTTCTAAATAACAAACGTTAATCAACAAAATATTGATTGCCACATTTCTGTATTTTTAGGATTCCTGCTTCACTTTGTCCGATTATGCATTGAGCGCAAAAAATTTATTGGTTGTTTTTTCTTTAAATTTACAGGTATAAAAAATATATTTTTTAATATTTATATAGATAAGTATAAATGAAAAAAAAATTTTATTTTTAACATATTTTTTTAAAGTTTAGAACACATTTAAATTAAATAAATTTTTGTCCGATTATTCGATGGAGCCACTGTATATATTGAATTTTTATAAGCAAATTTCGTTCAGATTACATGTTGACGCATAAACGTGCAAATCTGATTAAATAAATTATCCCATAATAGAGACAATAATTTTTAGCTCCTAATACATCAAAAATGTTACTGCTTGTCTGCATGCACTGCAGGGCCTTTTCCTCATTTTATTGCCGGTCTTGATGCATGAACATTAAATTAAAATAAAAACAAGTGTTTTATTTGTATAATTGCATACGAAACAGAAATTCACACATTCGTTATGCTATTATTAAAATAAAAAATTCTTAATTTCTATTGCCTTACACTCATTTCAAAAATATATCATCATATAAAAAGTTATAGGCAAAATTCCATCAAACATAAAAAGTATTTACCTCTTTAAAAAATCGTCAACTAAAACATAACTCGACATATCAATAACGTGTTTAACAAACTTTTTTAATATTTAAAAGTTTCCTTAAATTTATTAGTTCTAAATTTATGTACTACATTTTGTTTTGTTCACGCTGTAATCGAGTTCCATAAGCACGTGAAACTAAGTTCCAGGAGTCCATAAACCGATCCATGCACATCGAGATACATTTCTATTAAAATGATATATGAAAAAACGTATAATAAAAATGTAATAGGTAAGGTACCTGTTCTGACGAATCAAGTGTTACACCCGGTTTCCCTACACACTTTTTGAAACACTTTTCAGTCATTTTCTAAAGGAAACAAATATGTAATGTGATGTTTAGTCAGTTTTCTTATGTCATCATACCGTTAACAGCTCTTGAGCATTGGCAACAGCTATTTGCTGCCTAACTTGCTCAATAAGTTCACCCTTATCAGCACCAGATAGACTACCTAACGAAGACATGTATGATATTTCAGCGCTTACAGCGTCACAAGAACCTCTATTCCGGAATTCACGAGAAGACACTAATAAACAATCGTCTATTCTTACATAATATATGTGCGTATAACGTGCAACATAGATTTCAAAAGTTTTTTAATAGGGTTTTGCTATCATAACCAGCTTACACAAGTTACCATATGTTCGAATACTAAATTAAATAATGTCTACACCTTCAAACGGTATAGACTACGCAAATTGCAGTATATGCAATATTATGCTTTCATATTGAATTTGCTATTCTTCAACTGCGATTTGTGGGCCGTTCTGTTAAAAGTTCACACTCCCACAATATTAACATTAAATTGCATTTAAATTTAGATTTGAATGTTTTAATAATGCTCTTGCCAAGACAAAAATGTGAAATAAATTGGCAAAAAGTTTGAATGGACTTGACAATGTTATCAAAAGTGATTAAAAGCGCCGAAAATTCTGATTAGATTAGAAGTGTATATGACTTAGAGTATGTTAAGCAGGATATAGACAATGCTACATGTATGCATACCAAGTATGGGTACTACAAAATCGCACTGTGTATATTCAAGTTTTTATACCGAATTTCGGTCTGAGATAAGTATGCGGCTAAATTAAATCTTTTCAATTATTTCTTAAGTAGGCATACATGTCTACTTGTGCATATCGAAATTTGAGGATTTCTCATAATTTAAGAATTTTGGTGAGCGTCGGACGAGCAAAGATCACGGAAAAATAATTGAAAAAGTTGTATTATTTTAAATTATTTTCTTTAAAATAAGCAAATTTGAAAAAAAAAGTGCTATAAACAATTTTTAAAGAAGTTTATATAGTTTAAAAATTATTTTGTGCTAAAAATATTTCTTACATAAGTTTTTATATTTAAAAAATTATTTTGTGAATAAAAATATTAAAATGCAACATTTTAAAGAATTAAATTAAAAATAATTTCAGTTTTAAGAATTAAAATAAGAAATTGTGTTTAATTCTAAGAAATATGAAATCTTTATATAAGGAAATAATCATGCAACAAATAATGCCTCTACGAATAGAATAGTATTGAAATTTAACAATTAAAAGTAAAAAATATAATTAATTAATTAATTCAATTATTCTACAGCTGGTTTATGATTTCGTTCTAATATATAAATACAGCAAGTAAAATTGTTATTAAAAACTTTCATAGCAAAAGTAACAAAACTCCAGCAAAAATATGCGAACATGAAAAGTCAAGTACGGCTTTGGATCAGTTGGTTAAGGTGCGCTGATTCTGAGCTTCATATTTGTCAGGACCCGAGTTCGATTCCTGGTACTTGCAGTCTCAAAAATAATTATTTACGAATAATTAAATATAAGAATTATTTCCAAGACCACTGATGAAAGGTATTTGGCAATACTCGAAACAGCTGTATGGTCAGCCAAAAATTCAATTAATTAAAATAATTAAAAAAAAAAAAAATAAAATTTTTGTTGTTGTTTCACTTCTGTTCGAAAACCTCTTTATATAAAGAAATAATGAAATAAACAACATGTTGATATTATCATCATCTCAATTCCTTCAGTTTCGATTATTGTTTTGCACTCTGTATTTGCTCCGCTGTTATTATGAACGCTGTAGAAAATAAATCAAAATGAAGTGTGCATACCTTGTTTCAAAGTGTAAAGCGCATACTTGAATTTCATACTTGGTGTGCACATATGTAGCATCGTCTATATCATGCTTCACAAACAAAACTTGCAAACATATCTATTAGTTTTAGAAGTCATTTTAAGGACGATTTTTATTTAGCATGCTATATACTTTGTAAAGGGCTGAAATGTCAAAGTGCCAATTTGCTTAATAGAAACTTCATGAGTGCTCGTTTTGTGTGTCTTCTATAGGATATATTTTTAATAGTGTAGAGTAGAGTAGAGTAGATTTAGACTATTATTAAATTTGTTTATTATTTAAAATTAGTAACTATAGCTGCAAAAAATAGTTTGTGCGATTCTATTTGTGTATCTCAAAAATAAATAGCAAGCATAGTTAATAGATAAGGAAGTGCACAATATAACACATAAATAAGAATGTAATAAGTAACTCAACTCGAATCTTATGTGGCATAACAAGAAACCTATTTCGAATAACGGTGAACTTAGTGAGAAAATCGTTTAGTTAAATAAGGTCTGACTTAAGAGCTGTTTGGGATATCGACACATATTTGTTATTAGTGATGTTTAAAAAAATCAATTGACTTGATTGTTCGTATATGCTTTTTTGGCCCAACAGTGTCTGGAATTGAACCCCGTCATCTTTAAATTGTCGACCCGTGCGTTAACATGCAAAGCCCAACGTACACCTAACTTTTTTAAATTTAGAGATTTATCAATTTTTGTTTTTTTATTTGTAAATAACTATTGTACTTGCAATGGTCAATATTAAACAAGAATTTCTCGTTCTAATATTATAGCTAGTTAGCATTTTACATAAAAATATCAAAGTGGGGTACTACTAAATTATGATAAAAGCCAAAGAACAGTATTTCAGGAACGGCACCTTGATTGTGACTTCAAATGTATTTTTTGAACAAAAATTTGCGGTGGACATATGAGGATGTGGTAAAAAATGCAAACACAAATTCAAATCCTTAACATTTTCTTACTTTTTCACTTTTCCGATTTTACACAACGTTTTAAGAAGGGAAGGAATATGTAGAAAAATTGGCCACAATGAGCGCAAGAAAGTGCGTAGTTGTATTTCTCTGTTTTGGTTTTTTGAGAGATATACAAAATTTCGTTGCACCAAATCATACAAACTTAATCGAGCAAATATTTTAAAGAATGAATATACCTAAAATATAAAATAGTCAAGTAGTACATTTTTCTTTAAATTTGAAAATTGAAAAAATGTATAAAGCTATTCAAAATTAAAATTATTTTTTAATTTGTCAAAGGATTTTAACAAAATGAAATCTAATCATAACAATTAATTACTTTTTTTATTTATTCATGTTATTAAACTTATTTAATTGTTTCTTTAAGTTAAATTAACTAAACATGTATGATTCGTTTTAATAAGTAATAAGTAATTTTATGGTTCGTGTTTATTCTTCTTCTACCCGTGAAGATTTAATTCGTAGTTGTAGAGCCCAACGGCTCTATAGAGCACAGGCTCACTCACAGAACACAACTGCCCAAAACACAACTGACAATCCAACTGTTCTTTAGACTATTGTTTACTGTCTTTTAAACAAAAATTCTAAAGGTCTTACCTATACAAGATGCCGACATTTCAAGGTGCCCCCAATTACTTTATTATTATTATTCAATAGTTTTTGCATAATTCGCAAAAACGTCAATGACTTAAGTTGCACTCCATATTTTTGCAATTTTTGATTATTTATTTTCAATGTCGCTTTCAGCTTGACACAATTAACAAAAACCGAAAATCAGCTTTTCTTACCGTCAAGCTGACCTTGGTTACTGCTATTGTGCAAGCTGCAAACGACGCTGCCTACTTTTAGGCATGCCTTATGTTGGAATATAAATCAGAACGTTCTTCATAGGTTGAGCCTCTCGACTAACAACAAGGATTTTCTTTAATAAACGTACAGGTGACTTACTTGATTTAATTGCTTTTAACCAATGCTTCGCTGTTTCTTTAAATTTTCCACACAGAATTGTTGAAGTTTCTTTCACTAGTTTTGATGAAACAACTGTGTTCAAGAATGTATGAACACATGAGATATGTGTTCATACATGAGGTATGAGATAATCAGGAATTTCCATGAAGACACTCCTTCCGAGCTCTCCATTTAAATATGCTGTGACGATATTCATTTGATGGATCTCCAAATCCATTTTCTCTGCTAGTGCCGCACCCAACTTTATAGATGTTTAACGAGCGACTGGAGAAAACGTATCTGTAGTTTCTATAATTTACAAATTTACCAACGGTTTCTTATTTTCAGAATACTCGAACGCAATATCGATATAATCACTTGTTTGACAGGCGTTTTCATTATTTATAAAAATGTTTTCGTATTTACCATGACAGATATTTTTGTTTACGAACACGACATCACGACTTATTGTTATTTCGTTCTGTAGATTACCATAACTGATAAGATTTTACTTTGTTTTATAACGACACGGATTTTCCGTTTCGCTGTTATTCTTTTGCTGGGATATCCTTAGTCTCTTCCAGGGATCGGTTAGCGAGATTAGCGAAATATATATTTTGTTTATTAAATATGTATATAATAATGTTCAAGCGCGTTGACTTAAAACCTCCCTTACGCTCTTAAACAATTATATATATATTTTGTAATATGTTATACATTTCGATTTAAAATCGCCTTCGTGTCAGGTAATAATTTATATTACTATTTTATGTTTGACATACAATGCCACCAAGTGTTCATACAAGACACACTAATATATTATAAAAATGCGCCGCCTTTTATACTGATCAGACAAGTTTTTTGTGTAGCGCACATACAAACGTTTTCTTGCTGTTTGGTGGTGGTTTGCTTACTTTCTCGTTGTTCAAGTTGTGCGCTTTTCAAATGTTGTGATCTCTTTGCGGCTAATTCTTTTGACATTAATTAACATTTGTAAATGTTTAGTTTTTGACATGTGCGCGTTTTTCTAAATTTAATAAAATTTATTTAGTTAAATAAAATTAGTTAAAGAAATTAAAGTTTTAATAATAATTTAATAAAATGAAAATTATTTTTAGTTTAAATAACTAAATAACTAAGTATGCTATAGGTAAGCGCGCTGGGGTATGATTCTAGGTAAAGTATTTGTATTTATTTCGATGTAATTTTTGATGTACTTCATTTCATTTGTCAATAGTGAAGTGATGGTATGTAGGTTAGTAATTTACACAAAATTTCTATCCTTACAGCTTGAATAGCCAACAAATATGTAAGGTTCTGACTTAGAATCGAATTTTACCCTAGTTTTATCTTTTTTTATGACATATGCTTTAGAGCCAAATACTTGAAAGTGAACAACAGTTGGTATTTTGCTAGTCCACAACTTGTGAGGTACATCACCATTCAACGATTTTGTTGGACACCGATTTAGTATGTAACACGCTGTATTTATGGCCTCTGCCCAAAAGTTTAGGGGAACTTAAGCTTGCTTCATAATGCAACTGGACATT